GCTACAAGTCAGTGGCGTACCTGTGTAACATTTTTGGGGGGGGGGGGCATAAATTAATTTTCACAATTTTTTATGGTTATAAAATAAGTAATGATAACGTCCTCATGTTGATCACTTGATATCAATGATAAGTGATAATCACATTATAAAATAGTGACTATATGTAACCATAACTCCTAATCCTAATTTGATCGAATATTGACATTTTATATTACATTGATAGTGATATCAAACACGATTATAATCAGTGAAAATATTAATTATTTACATTATTTAAGCTGGACAATAAATTTTCATTATGGCATCAAAAAACTTCTTGGGGGGGGGGGCAAATGCCCCTGTTGCCCCCCCTACAGGTACGCCACTGGGTGGAAGCTACTTATGAGGCAGAGAAACATAGTCTACCCAGTTTTTGACACCTACTGTTTTTGTATAATATACATAGATACAAAGTGTATAAATATTTACTGACTCTGCATTTAACACAAGTGTCGTGTGAAAGGTCGTTTTCGAAATTAAAATTGTGTAAAATATGATTATAGTCCAGTATTATATAAGAAAATTTGGAATCATTATTCATAATACCTACATCGTGAACAAAACAGTTGATAAATAAAACTAATGGAATCAAATCATATATGCTATGTTCGAATAGGAAAGAAATGATAATGTTTGCTCATATATTAAGTTATAAGTTAATTGTGTATAGGTACTTTTTTAAAAAGTATTTAAGAAACCTGTTACAGTTTATGTTTTTATATAAAATATAAATAATATTAAGTTTTAAAAATAAGCGCTTAATATATTTTCTTAGACTTTTCTCTATAAAACATATTATTTCGATTGATATTTTATAAAAAATCAGAGAATAAATCACAATCTATGTTTAACAGCTTAAAACGGTAGGTAGTTAATAAAAAAATTAAAAGTAGAGATTCATTTTTTTCTCTTGAAGCGGATCATAAGTATATAGTATAGTTGGTGTTCATTAAAGAAATATATTTTTTCTCGCGCTCCTTAGAGGTGGCCATTATAGGCTTGAATGTATACCTTACATAAGGTTATATATAAAATTATTGTTAACAATTATTCAATTATAATTTGTTGATACATTTTATTGTTTATAGAAAATAACTGAGATACGAGCGCATTTACTACAGTCAAGAGTTTAGCCATTCCAAAATCACCATATTATCAAAATATAAATACATCTTTTATAAAGTCATCGGCATGTTGTAAATAAGAATAATAAGACAATTATCTTTGAAAAAAAGTACAAATCATTAAATTATTATATTTGTTTGACCCCTCCCCCCACAACATTGATAGAAAATTTGGTAAAATTAAATGCCAAGTCGACAATTCAATAAGAACATTCTATTTGTCCTATTCTAGAAAAAACTGAAATGACGTCACTACAAACGAATTCTTCACATTAATAGTGGCTGAATTGTTGTCTCAAATAATCTTGAATATTTGATTCCAAAGATTTTTCGATGAAATGTTGGAGTTGTTCCTTGACCTTGGAAACGAGTTCGGACTGCACGTTGTTGCTTCCCAAATCGTACCGAAGACCCATCACGTGGACATCTGTATTGAACTTGCTGTACGACTGTGACAGGTCGAGGGATTTGTTGACGGTCACTTGGATTTTGATTTTCTCGATTTTGCAGTGAACATTCCGGGCGGTCATCATGTTACCGGCTGACACGACGGTCAGGGCTGATGTCCACTCCAAATCGTTCAACGTGAAGTAGTAACGCGTCCTGTAGAAGTTTTTGGATTGACGGTTAACCAACATGGCGGTGAAAATCGATAATTCGGCTGCCCGTTCCGCGTTCAGGTACCCGACGTTGGTCATATCCAAAGCGAGATCGTCTTGCTCCCATCTCAAGTCGAATAACTTGCCTTCGCTGTTCGCTGCGTCACGCGAAGCTATGACCATCGGTTTGCGGATTTCGTTTTTGATCTGGGCTACCATTCCCACGTTGTTGGTGTACCTGAACACTTCATCGGTTACCACGTCGGCCAACATTCTCAAATATTTGTGCTTCAGAACGTCATCGAATGCTCGAGTCTCGGCACCGTCTTTGGTCTTAAATTTGACTTCGGAATATTCGAAGTTAGCTGGCCGGACAACAGCGTGTTGGTGTTGTCCGATCATGACGTAGCTGTTCACCTTTTTCAAGATAACAGTGAAGCAACCCCGTTTGGCAGTTTCAATGGTGGACTTGAACAATCCGGTGGTCTCGATCCGGTCGAACTTGTATTGAACATACACCATATCCATGTCGGGGTCTACGTACATGTATTCCAATTCGCCGTTATTCAAGTTCTTCATGGTCGTGTTGTAGAAGATGACGAACTCTTGTTCGGAGATTTTCACCGCATTTTTTTTTATGTTCAGCACGCCATTTGAGTGCTCAATGTTTTGGTGAAGGGCAATTTTTTGTAAGGCAGCGATTTTTTCGGCTATTTTCATGGTTAGTCCTCCGGTTGGTTGGTTGAATTGTTGAAATTGGTCAATATCAATTTTTTGTAAACTATCAGTTGTCTGTCTGTGTTCGAGACCATCGTTTGTTGAATACTCGTAGAGTCGGTTGTTGTTTTTTTGGTGCTCTTTGAAGTTCTGGTCGAAGTTAATCGCATTGAACTCCAGTGATTCATTCTCGTCAGGATCTCTTATCGGTTCAGTACGTTTCCATCGCTTATCTGAAAATGGATTAATCGTAGATTACGTATGTAACATCACAGAATAGATTTCTCTATTCAGAGAAAACATATTTTGTTTTGTATGTTATTTGTACTTACGGATTGAGTGTTGGTGGATTGCTTTGTTATTGATATAGTAGGCAGCGACTTCGAGAGTCTTGCCAGTCAGAAGGACGGATATAATAACCAAAGAAATCTTCATGTTGATCGACTGACTGGCACTGGTACCGAGTCGGCGCGGTGGCTGGTATTTATACGCAAACCAGAGCTCAGTAATTATTTATTATAATTAAAATAAAAGTGGTGATGGAAATATATATCGACTTCGATTCCACGAATCTTTATTATTATTATTATTATTATTTCTTAATAAATGGTGCAGATTATATAGTCACGGCCATGTGCATATTTAACATCAATATTTGATTCTATCTAATAATTCGATAAATACAAAATTGTTCAGTTGCTTATAAAAATACATTAAATGGGTGGATTATTTTTATCGGGCATACCTTTGTTTAAAAATAATTCTATGGGTTGCGAATGATTGAGAACTTTTACCTTTCTTTGTTACACGATTGCGAACGTTTTTGTAGGCTACGTTGCCTACAAACTAATGCAACTAACGTGGCTAAGTTTTTATTTTTCTAAATATGTAAAATTTCTGAATTTTATTTTATTCGATGATTTTATTAAATTTTTTTTTTTAGTAAAATCTACTCGATATTTATAATATTGTTATATTATAATTACGTTACAAACTAAAATAAAATGATTCAAAATATGTGTTTAATTAAAAAATGTTTCTTGGTATAAATTTTAATAAAATAACATAATAATGTAAAATTCATAAAATACTGTATAGAACTGAAAAAAAAATATTAAAAATATTACAAAATAATAGTTTTGAATAATATTGCACGTCAATACGAATCGAGTTAGTTTTTCATAAAATTTATATAAGTTTAGGAAAAATAATATAGTTAAACATGTTGATAATTATTCTACATCATATGTATCTAACGGTCTGGCGTAATAGTAGAAAACCATTGTTATTAGTCTCATAAGAATTGATTATTTGAAAAGCAAAAGCAGTCCAAAACGGTGTAGTGGTGGTGCGGCGTGCACGTTTTATCATGTTCTAATTTTATTGTGGTGCACCGGCGCTGCACCACACCGCACTGCTTTGGTGATCAACGGGCCTAACACCAAATCTGACAACGCCGCATGAAAAAAAGGCAGGTAAAAACTTTCGCAATCGTGTTGTGGGAAAGGTCAGTTCGCAATCGTGTTTGCGGGATAACGTCAGTTCGCAACCGTTCCACTCGCAATCGTATGTTACCCAGGCAGTATGGGTAGTGAACATTTAACCTTTTTTCATAACATGATTGCAAACGAATGTCAAATAACTTCGGTGACTAACTGTTTAACGTCAGTCAACTGAATATTTGTATAAGTCTGAAAAAATAATGTCCAACATTTTCAAGGCGTTTCAGACTTCAGTATTGAATGTAGCTAAGTGGACCTGTAGTGAAGTTTCAAGTTTTAAAATGTTAAACTATAAAAATTACATCATATTTGCTATCATTGTTATTAATGATGTTTATGTTGTTTATATAATAATATGTAATAATGTTGTAAATAATTTTAATCAATTACCTTTTATTCTATTATAATTTTTTTATTTGTTCGAATTAATACTCAAACTATTAATAACAAATATTTTATTTGATTTTTATACTTTAGATTCTGAATGAATGTATTTTACTTTAATTAATTTTTTCATGATGTATGTTTTTTGTGTCCGTGTACATGATTTTGATGAGTAGGATTGCTCTGATCACCTCAACCACAAAAGATTTCTAATAGGAAATATTATCTAGTTAGTATTTTAAAGGAAGTTATTTTATGAATTCTCCAACGGTTTTCACAATAACTGAAGAAAAGTTATAAAAAAACAGCAACATTTTCGACAAAATATAATTTTTTCTTTAGCGTAATTCAATAAATACGAGTAATAACAGTATAGACAAAACATTTTCATTAAATGTTTAAATCTCTATTTCCTATAGATGGTAAAATTTTAATAGGGTAAGATTTGTTGTGCTATTTATTATTATTATTTTTCTTATATTATTTTTTGAAAATGTCAATAAAATAATTTTGATTTGACAAAATATTTTATAAGTTTAATAAAAAACTTCTTAAATATACTTATTACTGTTTAAAGATGAAAAAAATCAATCTTAATTTTAAAAAAAAATTTCAGAATGGTTAAATCTTAAATATTAACCCGACCCATGGGCTGTCTTATTTTTTCAGTTTTCTTCTGTTTTACTGTAAGATTAAAAAAAAAAAAACACGCAAGGTTCTTTAGATATTGTGAGTTGTATACAATAAATAAATAAATTGCATTCATTGCACATTGATACTTATTAATGTATTACCATGAAAAAAAATTATTTATTACAACTTAACCATAACATGACGAATACAGTGAAATTGAAGATCGACGTAATGGTGTACGCTTACTGACATTCTATATAGTCTTTATAGTTATACGAACCGTAAAAACAATTTTTTAGAAACGCCTTAGCTATAATATGTATACTCGATATCGTTGAAGTGTTAAACACTATTATATGTATATTACAAGTACCTTTATATATTGATATAAAAATAGTGCAAGGGCCTGGGTTCGATGGTAGATAACAATAAATCAATATTCCATTGTGAGATAATCGCTGTTGAAAAACAAGATACTATTATATTGTTTAGAGTAGTCGCAAAAGCGCGTCAACGAAGACTCATAATTCGTGGACTCCGAGGAAAAACGACAAAAAAAAAAGTATGCCTGTTCGTTGTTGGAGCGTTTTGCAAGTAGTCAGCTTGCTGTCATTGGCAACTGTTTCGTCGGTTGTGGAGAACGAAGAAACATTCATCGTCAACTCGGTCAACAACGATCTAGATAACACATGGAAGGTATGTCATAGTATTTGTACTTAGTGTACTGGCTTACGCAAGATTTTTCAATTACGGGGAGGGATGGGGGAGGGGCTTGAAAATAACTCAAAAATTACTCAATAGACGCACAATATTATGTTCGAAAGAATAAAAAAGATGGTATAATACTGTTGAATTCATTCATATGGCATACTTATAAAAAAAATACATATAATTGTCATAATAATTATTTATTTTATCCAATCTATTGGCTACATTCAATTAAATGAGACGTTTGAAAATATTACAAAAAGATAAAAATACTAATAGTGGGAGGACTTTAGACGTGTAATTTAATATTCTTGCCCAGGGACTAGAACCTTTATGGTTTTATCGGTTTCGGTTTTGTCTCCAGTCAGGAAAAAAAATTGATTTAGGTTTCGGTTTTGTTAAAAACCGGTTTTAACCCAAACAATTGATCTTTTGTTTTCTTTTTCTGTAAAAAGGATTAGGGATTTATACTTCTTAAAATAAGCACAGATTACGTTAAATTTTAAGATTATCATCTTCAAAGTCTAATTTCTAAATATTATTGACCTATAGTTGGGTAATTCATGTATGGTATTCTATCACGATAGGTATAAATCCATAATCTACATAATAAAGAATGCAATTGTAGCGTCGTGGATCCACGAACAGTAAAAGAAATGTTTGTGTTTCATATACATGTTTCTACTTTCTAACCGGTGGAAGACATAAGCACCAAAATTAAATAAGAAAAAAAAAGTCGTATGGTACAAAAGCGTCAAAATGAGATAAGAAAAATTAGTCGTATCATATAAAAGCGCCAAAATCGTATCATACGAAAGCGCCGAAATCCTAGATATCTGTAAATTAAATAACAGATATTAAATTTAGAACTATATCGTTCAAAAACTCCAAACGCTTAATCTTAATTGACAAATGTATTATATGATTACGATAGATTATCACATAGACAGTGCGTGAGCAAGTTTTTTGTTATAACATATTGTTAGTACCTATTTCGTTATATCATTATAATATTATACTTTATATTGATGTGCATGTATTATAATTTACTATCGAAATTTTTTTATAAAATAGCAACGGATTTATTAACTTTATATTGATTTTCGTGTATATTATAATTTACTATCGACATTTTTTTTTAAATTTTTTAATAACTACCTACTTATATAAAATATTAATTTTGTCGCAAATGCTATGTCACTTTTTCACCTTTGGCGCTTATGTTTTATGTAGGGTATAACAGGTAACGATATTAGATTGGCGCTTATGTCCTACAGATTTTGGCGCAAATGATAGGTCATTTATGTACTTTTGGCGCTTATGTCATACAGCCTTTCTAACGAGTGTTAGCATTTTTAGTTAATAAAGTGTACAAAATTATACGAACCATCACATGTAGGTTTTGCGAGCGGGGAAAAGTTGTTTTCTATATTATATAAAATCTTAGGCAAATATACTCTTAATGAAGTGCACATAGATCACATACATTGTTTAGGATGATCAGGAATATTTTTCTACACGAAAATTATATTGTCATATGCGTTCAAATAATTGATCGAAAAATGGCGACTGTGCGGACGAGTTTGCCAAATCTCAACAATAGTATTTATGATAACCCGAGTATTTTTACGATCGCACGTACTTTAGGCTGGCCACGACAATGTCATTCCAGTGGATAACGGAAACTTCGGCTTACTAATGGGCGTGTTGCCGCGAAACGACAACGCGTTCAGGTTCGCCCCCATGAAGGAAACGATGAACGACGCCAACGGCGACCTTCCTGAAAGATTCGACGCCAGAGAACGATGGCCCGAATGTGCATCGCTGTTGGACGCGATCAAGGACCAGTCTAACTGTGGATCTTGTTGGGTGAGTAATGGATACTGCGTTGAGTGTTGATATCAACTGACATGTAGCAGCGTAACCAGTTATTTATCCTGATTTCGCGTAGGGAGGGGGAATACGATTTTCAACCATTGCTTGTACTCATTGATTGTATTCGATGGTTGGGCGACGATTTCGACAATATTTTTATTTTAACATAATACTCACATGCCTTGTAAAACAGGTATGTTCAGCGGCTTATTGGCTAAAAATTTCGGTCCGGGAGATTACTGTATGACCGGCCCACTATCCAATAATAATTTTCCATAAAAGTCTCCTTTATTCATGGATTAAATGCTCGTAGAATTGTTTAAATCACGTTTACACTAGGTTTTTATTACAATTTTACAATTAAATACAATATACATGATGTATGTAATGCATGTAATATACAATATTAGATTATTTTTATAAAATAATTTTTAATCCAAGTACATTGGCTCAGTGCTATAATATGACTATCGGCCCACCAGGAACTTTCCCGATATCCCGGTGGGCCAATCCGCCGTTGAGTATGTTTTATGCATTTCCAATATATCATGTAAGCCCGTAAGCAATAAAGCTTTTTTTCAGGGCTTCAAACCATAATGATTTCTTGTGGTTAATGGTTTTAGTTCATTTACTATTTTATTCGGTTTTAAAAACTGATTAATATTGATCTTATATTTTATAGTTTTTTAAAACCGGTTAATTTTGTTCTTTTAAAAAAATATATTTTTTTATAAAAATTTTATACCTTAGATAATTTATTGTTATAATTATAAAATAATTAATTAAAAAATTCAACTATTGTGAGATATTCTTAAAAAAAGTTTATAATTTATATATTTATAATATATTAATACACAATAAATAATATGATACACATTTTTAAGTTTTTATTACAATATTTAATATACTAACAAACATAATGAACAACATAACTGCAATATTTATTATCGAGTAAGACAAAAAAGAAATACCATATTAGTTCAAAATGTTGAACAAATTTACAAATATTTAATACAATTTAAGATAACATTGTCGTCCATTAAAAGCGGTATTATAACAATAAACAATGTGGTTTCTGGTTGTCATTAATCGTGTTCACGTATTATCCACAGTAGTGTGGGGTTACGACCAGTTGTCCCACTTACCAACTGTTCAATTTTTATCTTGCAAATTATTTTATATTTATCTAATAATTTTTACCTGTCTTTTGTCAAACAAAACAAGTTGACCAACTTAACAAAATGTGTAAAAACTAAAATTAAATATTAATTATTTTTTGTAATTAAAAATGTATTTATTTCCGTTCGAGAACGAAAAATATTTCGTTTTCGTTTTATAAAATTAGTATGATAATTGTAGTTTTATTTTTGTTTTCGTTCATACACATTTTCCAATAAAACCAGTGAATAAAAAAAAAACGGTTTTAACCGGTTGAAACCTTGCTTTTTTTCAATGTATTTATTTGTATGTATAAAAATTTTGGGGATCAACACCCCTCTTCCATAATTACAAATATACAATTAATCGCACTAACAATAAAACAATTTCGAATTTTATCGTGTATTGTATGAATTATAGACTAATATTTATTTTTTATACCAATAGCACTATATAGTTTTCTTGATGAAAATATTTATATACTCGTATGATTCGTAATCAATACCTTTTAAATATTGATGCATACTCGTAAATATGTTTTATTTTCTCATCTTATCTTAAAATAAATGACGATTCTGAATAAATGTATATGATTTTTATAAATTTGAATTGAAAATAAAAATATTTGTAAAAGTTATTATAATGGTAAAAAATAAAAAAAAAACTTATATAAGTATTTTTGAGACATTTTTGTGGTTAACGAATTAAATAACTATATAAAATTAAAATTGAACCTAATGTTGATTTCAAAAAGCAGTGCGAAATATTTTTTATTAGTATTCTATTTTTTTATTTATAAATTCAAAGTCATATTTTTGCTCGCATCTAATTATCCTACATTCATTTATATTAACAGTCGAAATACGTGATTTACTCGCGCAGCGAGATTTTAGGTTCACATACAAAGCATGTACAAAATTTAGGTTAGGCTTAGACTATAATATCCTTTGAGGCGAAACTCCATAGTCACTAAAAGTGCCCTGCAGTGCCACTCGAGTTTGTGATTGGAGCTGATAGGCATAGCGGGCGAAGTCCTAAAATTTTAATAATTGATGTTTCGCATATAAATTTTATTGATAAATGTGGAGCTTCAGTGTATCAAATATTTCAAACAATTTTTTGTCAAGCGAACTTTTGGTGTTAAAAATATTTTTAGAATGCAGAACTAAGGTGTATTCTATAAAATTACAACTGGCTGTTTAGGGGCTTTCAGTTGTATTAAAACATAGTAACAATGTGAGTCGATGCGTAAAATATTAGACACAAATTTAGGCTTTATGTTGAATAAATTACATAATTAATAAACGGATAAAGTTCACAAATTGTGAAGTGGGCACTCGCAACTTTTTATCACAAACCTCAAATTTCATTACATGATAATACTTGTAACGATATGATTTATGTTAATAACTTGGAGAGTTTTATGAGGATTTAGTGAAATGAACAATAAACAATGATTAAGTGCCCAGTTTTTAGATAATTACAATTCGAGATAAATAATTGTTGTACTTATACTGATTAAAAGTGATGTTAAAACAAAATATAAAGTATTGTTGAACATATAACGGGTCAGTCCGTCGCGTTTGTTTCGTTATTATATTGGTATATAGAATAATAAACAAATAAATAAAGACGGACGGAAGCGTTTTAGTCGACACTAATAATTCACTGCGGATGTTAATTTATAATTGATTGATTTGTAGTTAATTAATATCGATATATCGATCAAATGCTGTGGACTTTTACTATTATAATTATTAATATTGATATATTTTAATAATAAATAAAGCTCAGAAAATATGACATTTACAATTATCTATAAATAACCCAAAAAAGTCAAAATATATTTGAAAATCATACCATATATGAAAGCGGTGGTATATCAAATAAATATTCAGAGAACATTTCAATTGTCTAAGGCTATTATATTTGAATTGTTATAGAAAATAAAATCGATTTCTTCGACAACCGGTGTGCCGTAAAATTTTTAGTTTTTTTTTGCTTTTCGTCAAATTACCCCTTTCCCTTAAGTACCAACTAGACAACCATTCTTGTCGAAATACTCTCGTGATTTTGATGATTGCGATAATTGTTCTGATCGAAATCGATTACACGAACAGGAAAAATAAAAAAAAAAAAACAAAAAAAATGTATAAGACACATATCGCGGCGAAACCAATAGAAATTTTACTCAGAACCTGAAATCTGGTAAAACAAATAATAATAAAATAACTTTATATTATATTGCATATAACGTCGTTTCATAACGAATTCCAGGCAGTATCTGCGGCTTCCGTGTTCAGCGATCGTCTGTGCATAGCCACCCGAGGTGCCGTGGCCAGGAACCTGTCCGCGGAACATTTGAACAATTGTTGTTACCGTTGCGGCCATGGATGCGATGGCGGGATGCCCGAGAACGCGTGGTATTTCTTCAGTCGGCACGGGATCGTCACGGGCGGAGATTACGGTTCTGACCAGGTATCATATGATCAAACACAGTGATTCCCTATTAATATGAAGCCACGGACCCATAATGTTAGAAGTTAGATTGAACTGTGAACCCTTTTTTTGTATGCGCTTACGAGAAAACAATTGTTTTCAGTTATTTTATGATTTCCTTTAATTTTACACACGTTCCTTTTCGAAATAATACGGACATTTTTCTATTTCTCATTAAATATATCTAACATAAAGATATTTGTTTGATGCAATTCTTTAAATGTTTTTACTTTACGTGTAACACTACAACACAGTGCTTGATTTGGAAAAATTAAAGAAGGGGGACTCTGTTTGCTTAAAAAAAAATTGCGTTCCCAAAACTTGTTAAGCGTTATAATTATAACGTATTAATAGTAGGGGGACGCTAAAATTTCTAAAAATTAGAAGGGGTACTCCGTCCCCTTGCGTCCCCTCTCAAGTCGAGCACTGCTTCTAAAACTAAACCTATTATAATTTAATAATAAATTGCTAAATTTGTCATTGCAGTTACTCTCTAACTTTATGGAGACGATAGTGAAAAGTTTATTTTTTTAATTTTAACCTCTTCCAAATTTAACGGCATGCCTAATTAATTATTATTAAATACTATTTGTGATAATGGCACACAGATGCTATGGCGTAATCGTAATCGACTAGACCCTAAAGTTATCTAAAAAAAAACTATATCTCAATCAAGTTTTACATATTATTGGCACTAAACTAATAACAATATCGGACATTAATTATTTTTAATATAAAAAATAAAAATACAATAAATAATACCTACAAATCAATATTGTAATTGAATTTGAAGTGTACGCATACTGCACGCATACGCCTGCACTACGCCACTGTTCGATATTGATCTGCTAAAACTGTTGTATTCCGTTTCAAAAAGTCGTGTCACTCGTAGGATTCAATACCTACGAGCTATAATTATAGCGTTTGTCTTGCATAGGGCTGTCAACCGTATAGCATTTATCCATGTGGAAAAGGGAGGAACCAATGTATCGATCCGGACCCAGACACACCAGAATGCACTGTAAAGAGTTGCACCAACGCGCTGTACACCAAGGATTACCGGTCAGATTTATACTATGGTATGGCATGCATATGTACATTTATATAGCCATGTAGGACAGGGGATGTCTAAATATTTGTAGAAGATTGAGCTATGTTTAGCGAACGGAAGTTGTCGTATAGTCTTATAATTATAAACATGAATCGTAAATACAGTAGTGAATGTAATAGGTATGAGTTTTTATTTTTTAATAATATAATATATTATTAAAGATAATATCAAGATATTATCTTGGTGTTTTTTTTAATTTTCCATTTTTAGCATATGTTTTTTCTCATAATATATATATATATATATTTAAGTGGTTGATAGTTTTGAAATTGACGCGAAGAAAATATTATAGATCTTTAGTAACGTCATATAGTAAACTGCACTCCCCTCACAATAATTACTCAACATATTATTAAATAATATTTGTTGAAAATTATCATAATTTACTATCAACTCTTTAATATATAGAGCAATGAAAATATCAAAATAATGTTTCATTATCAACGGTTATACGTCTATAGTTTTACATGGACTTATATTAATAATTCAATAATATAAAAACACCTTTTAAGTGGTAATTTTCTTGTAAAAAATATTGAATTAATATTTCAATTTTTGTCTATAAGTATCACTGGAATAAAATATAAATTATTGGACTGAATAAAACGTTAATTAATTTCAGATGAGTAGATAATTTCACAAATCAATTTATTAAATCTTGCACTAATGTATCAATTCATTTTACAGTGTTAAAGGAAGACGTATTTTTTTTAATGCCGATTTATCTAATATTTGATTACTTTAATACGATTCTTTCTATTGATTCATAACATGACACACCCATTAAGATTTTTTCTAGAGAAAACAATAATAAATTAATTATATTTTACAAATTTTAACTAGTTTTAGTAAAATAAAAAAAATATAGGTCTACTTAGTCCATAGTAATACATAGAGAAGTTTTTATCCTCTTTAATAATAAAAATTTCTTTCGTTTTGTTCAGTTAAAACTGGGAGGAGTGTGATAAAAATGGTTAACAATTTAAGTATATTTGGATATATTTCAGGATATCATATAAACAAAGCTTCCATTGTGTTGCCATAATCATTTGTTTTTTTAAAAAAATGGGGGTGTTGTAACCCCCAGAACATCTCTCGTAAATACGCCACTGGACACATGGATACTTGAGTCCTGGTAACTTCATTTCAAATCTCATTTCCACTTCACTTTCTTGACTAATAGGTATATATAAAAATAACATTTCCATAAATTATATAAAAAACAACAGTGAATAACACATTGTCAACATATTATATTAATATAATTTTCTTAATTTTTCAATTCTCAGTTAGAAACTGCTGGTTTAAAAAAACTTTATGTAATTTTGGAGGAATTAAGTCCCCAAATGTTTCCTCTTTAATTACTTACATTATATTAATTTGCACAAAGAGCGAGGTACATATGATTAGTTTTATTTTATAATGTATTTAGTTGACATTGTATACTCCTTGCCTAATTCTGAGGAAGACATCATGGCAGATATATACGAAAACGGTCCTGTCCAAGCAGCTTTCTGGGTCTACACAGATTTCATGTACTATAAAAGTGGTGAGTTTTTTTTATTTATTTGTTAATCGTTGGGTTTTAACATCTTAAACTGAACGTATGTTTGTTATAAGCATATGTTAATATGCAATTGAATCAAACGTAACGTCATATAATGTATTCAAACGAGTATGCATTTAGAGCATATAAAAGTAGAACGTAATATATCAATTTAAAATTGTACCGTTTTAGGTAAATATTATAATAATCATTTAACATTTTTTTTGCAACTATAAGACTGTATATTCTTATTTTAATTGTTGTATACAATTTTATTATGTAATAATATTTTCTCAATTATGCCATGTGTTATAAGTATTTTATTTTTAGGGGTTTACCGTTATACGAGAGGCGAAAACGAGGGAGGTCACGCGATTAAAATCCTGGGTTGGGGAATTGAAAATGGCATCAAATATTGGTTGTGCGTCAATTCTTGGACCCGATCATGGGGTGAAAATGGGCTGTTCAAGATACTTAGGGGAAACAATGAGTGTAACATAGAACAACGCGTGATTGCTGGATTGCCGCATGTACCGAGAAGAAAATAAACACGAAAATAAATTATATACAAGTATATTAATATTTCATAATCCGAGTATCGTCAGGTGTAAAAATATTGTTCTAGTAAATTATTTTATTGATACGTTCAATGTGATTTTATTTTATATATTTTTTGTTTCAATTAAATCATTAATGTATAATACAAAAGCCAAATGCACTAATGATACATTTAAGTTATGATAAATAAATATGTATGTAGTCTAAACTGTTAGTTATGACTTTAAACAATTTTTTTAGATTTTTTAATGTATTCATTGTTAGTATATCAGTAATAGTAAGAATCAGTCAAAGTTTAATTAATTCGAATAAAAGTTTCGTAATAGAACATTTTATAGCTGATATAAAATTGTGCAACGACTATTGATACTACTTACGACAAAATATATTATTAATTTGTCCGGTCATAGTATAATGTATATTATACTTATATTAAATTAAATGTTATCGGTACAATCTTTAAAAATACTCTATACAAATTAATAATAATATCTATAGTATAAAAATAACTTTTAAAATATTATTTAACGATGCATTCGTACTTTAATGCCATCTAGAAAATCACTCCAAAGTTACAAACATTTTTAAAAATATTCTTGATGATAAAATTATCATATTTTGCCTTAAAATTATTTAAATTCATTAATGTTTTTTTCGTTAGTTACAATCATAACGCCGAATAATTTATAACTGTTCAAATTTAAATCATAATTATGAAATTAAATTAAAATATTAGAAAAATATAAGCTATACGAATATAGGTATTGTATGTTGTTTCGTGTGAGATATGTATATGGAAAACTTGATTTATTGCGATGATCAAGAATCCGTACACCACCAGAATAATGACATTGATATACAATAAAAATCAGTAAACTATTTTATTGTGTAGCAGAGTAGACCTCGAGCTGTCATCCTCAACCCGATGTTTTATTTTATTTATTTTATATTCGTTTCCATTTTCGATAATTTATTTAGTTGTTTTAAGTGTTAAAATTGTATTCGAAGACTTGATTTTACCTCATATCATATATATATATATATATATATATATATATATATATATATATATTTAAATAATTAACTAAATATATTCTTGTAATTAAGCAATATAGTTAAGAAAAATACTTAAAAATTGTTTACAATTTAAAAGTTTTTTTTATAGTTTCATTGTATTTTGTTTAAATGTTTTACATTACATCTTCGTAAATATAACTGATAAAATACCGATCTACCAAGATGTAAATTACTTTATCGAATTGACTATATAAATAGAAGTATCAATATTAAATTAATCAAAGTATTATTTAATTAAAAAATGTAGGCATGTCTAAATGTATTTTGTTATGAATGGAAAAACTTTCAAAGTTTTTGTACAGTGGAAAAATAATATTTTCTATTGATAATTCAGATTATTCAACAAGTAAAAAATTATGTTTTAAATAAATAACGTAATTTAATAGTTGCAATTGTATTAGATTTTCTGTCTCAAAATCTGTTGGAAGTTGAATTCCAAAGATTTTTCGATGAAATGTTGGAGGTGTTCCTCGACCTTGGAAACGAGTTCGGACTGCACATTGTTGCTGCCCAAGTTGTACCGGAGACCCATCACGTGGACATCGGTGTTGAACTTGTCGTACGACTGTGATCGGTCAAGAGATTTGTTAAGGGTCACTTGGATTTTAATGCTCTCGATTTCGCAGTGAACATTCCGAGCGGTCATCCTATTGCCGGCCGATACGACGGTCAGGGCCGATGTCCATTCCAAATTGTTCAACGTGAAGTTGTAACGCGTCCTAAAGGAGTTTTCGGATTGACGGTCGACCAACATGGCGGTGAATATTGATTTTTCAGCTGCCTGTTCCGCGTTCAGGTATCCGACATTGGACATTTCCATAGAGAGGTCATCTTGCTCCCATCTCAAGTCGATTAACTTGGCTTCGCTGTTCGCTGTGCTGTGTGAAGCCATGACTATCGGTTTGCGGATTTCGTTTTTGATCTGGGCCATCATTCCCCCGCTGTTGGTGAACCTGAACACTTCACCGGTCACCGCATCGGTCAGCACTCTCAAGTACTGGTTCTCCAGAGCTTCATCGAAAGCTCGGGTCTCGGCACCCTCTTCGGTCTTGAAGTCGACGTCGGCGTATTCGAAGTTAGCTGGTCGGACAATGGCGTGATGCCGGTCTTCGAATCCTACAGTTACGTTGCTGTTCACCTTCTTCAACACAACAGTGAAGTATCCACGTTTGGCGGTTTCGATGTTGGACTTGAATGATCCGGTGGTCTCGATCCGGTCGAACTTGTATTGAACATACACCATGTCCTTGCCGAGGTTTATGTACATGTATTCCAAATCGCCATTATTCAAGTTCTTCATGGTCGTGTTGTAGAAGTTGACGAATTTTTGTTCGGACATTTTCACTACGTTTTTGTTGATGTTCAACATGCCGTTCAAGTGTTCTGTGGATCTGACAACGTTTTGATTAAGGACAATTTTCTGTAAAGTGGCGATTTTCTCTGCGATTTTCATGGCTAGACCCGATGCGGTGGTGGTGGTGGTGGTGGTGGTGGTCATTGTTCTTTGAAGACCGTCATGAGCTTGGTTTTGACTATTGAACTTCAGTTGTTGGCGATCACTGTTGACACCGGTTGAACCGTAGTCGAACTCGTCGTACTGAACGTTTTGTCCCGTACGGCCTACCAATGGCCTGGACTCAGTGTTGTCACCGCTCAAGTACTTGTTGAATTGGCCATTGAACCGTTCGACGACGACTTTTCCCAAAAGAATCGAATCTAGGTCGAAAGGTCCGTCGTTGGATTGCCCTTGCTCAGAAACGAGCCATTGCCGATCTAGAAATATAATAACTCGTCAAAAATTGCTTAGCTTACAATCTCAATTGTATTTGAACTTTGAAAACATGTCTCGAAAGGTGTGAGTATGATTACTTACCATTCTCCGGTTGCTGCTGTACATTGCTGTTGATTCGGTAGGCGATGACATCAATAGCCACTCCAGCCAGGACGCATGCGATTACCAAAGTAGATTTCATGTTGGTTGGATAGCTAATACGACTGATGCCATATGGATATGTTCGATCGGTATTTATACGTTAGTCGGAGCGGTATGATATGTGAACCTCAGCAATTTTGTGAGCACAGTTAACGTTAAATGGAAATGGAAAATCGTATCGTCTACAGAAATTGTGCCCTACTTATATTATTAATCAATTTTATCGATGAAATCTAACTAAACTCGACTTTAGTATCATTTACATTTCCGATAAATATTTTTTACAATTTTTAACAAATTGTTATTTTTACATATATTATACGATAATTATTAACACATTAGTAAAGCTAATATTAATAAATGCATTAATAGTATATTAATATATAAATAGTTTATTCATAAACAATGGGTTGAATTTTTGAAAAATATTATATTATTAATTTGTTAGTAAAATATGCAACTAAAAATAATCAACTTAATATAAATTCTAATTTCGGAGTTAAAAATACGTCATAAATATTTTTTGGTGTACTTAAATCTAAAATAAGATTGGTATATATTATAAATTAATTTAATATTTCAATTGAATTTCTCATTGTAAAATTCAACATATTTAACTTATCTCTAGTTAAATATATACATATATATTTTGATTTATAATAATCATTCTTACAATTTAAAAAATTTAACTATTGTTTTAAAAAATAAAAAATACTATATAATATATTTCATTATATTCTTAAATTCTTTTAGTATGTTTTGCTCTTATAAAATTTTTTAAATATATGTAAAACCTCTTTAAACTTTATAACCTCTTTTAATTTTTTTTTCTAAGATATAAGTTTTAAGAGTCTAATAAAATAAAAGCAATATAATTATCGCTGGCAAACTTTGGATTCATCAACTTCATGAGTATGACAATTTTAGTTAAATTGGAACTAAGGTTCTTATACAATATTGTTATTTATATGCATTTTGTAATTTTTCTAGAGTGATTTATTCTGTCAAAAATCATTGTTTATAATGGCATAATTAAGGCATACGTACTATACTATATTGTTTTATTGGAATTAATTTCATTTATGAGGTCATTTACCAATGTTAAAGTTATTTAGTTAAAGCCATTGCTGTATAAATAAACAATGATACAAATTGGGATTATACAAATCATATTATCTTTTACGAAATATTAATATAAAAAAAATTGTAACTATTATTTTTTTTTGTGATATATACTAATAGTTATTATTATAATGGTAAATACCGGCCAACCGGATATTATTCCGAAAAAAAAAACAAATTAGTATTGAGTGTAGATTAAAAATTACTTACACATCAATAACTTTCAAAACATTTTTTTTTACAAAGAAAGATTTAACATGTGTGTGTAGTTATTGCATTTATTACAAAATACATAATTAAAACAAAGTGTAATGAACCATTTTGGCTATAATGCATTTTGCAATACCAAAATATTTTCATCATCAATTTGTTTGATTTTTGATTATAAAATATTAACGTTACGAAATATGTTAGGTAAGGTGATTTTAAATAATCGTTTAGTTTAAATCTTTATGGAAACACTATAGGTAAACACTTTTACCTCGGGTATTTCACGGTATAATAATTTTGATATTCGAACGCAAATAAGAAATATGTAGTTGAATGAGCTGACGTTTAGTTTGTAGTATTATATAAATTAATTTTTTTCGAACTTGATTTGTTCGTAGCATAGGGTGATCAGATGTCCCGTTTGAAACGGGATCGTCCCTTTTTTAATCATCATGTTCCGTTGTCCCGACAAACTTCAAATGGGATGCTTTTTTCCCCATTTTTAGAAGACTGTCCCGTTTTAATCCCGTTATTTCCATATTATTTATTATATCATGAATTTTCGAAACTCATAGATCATTAATAATTACCAAAAAACACTTTAAAAACTTAACTTGTTCACAATTTTATGAATGTCTTTTGAAACACCCGAAATTGTTAAATTCAATAAATTTTTCCGAAAAGTACGAGAAAACAGTGGAATGTGTAGGAAGAAGGCTTACAAAATTTATAAATAATGGAGATAGCTGATAGTGTATAATTTTCATAATTTTTCTGATTCTTGTTAAAAAAATGTAAGAGTCATTATAATATGTTACATATTATGTAACAATACAAAATTGTTTAATACGTTAATTGTTATATTAAAAATTAAATTTTTTTAATTGTTTAAAAAATTATAATAGTTTTGAAATGTTACATTGTGTTGTTTGATGAATAATTAAGAGAAAATATTATTTAATAATAATTAAAAGAAAATATTTTATTATTTAGGTTATTTTACTAAAAAAGGGTAAAGTAAAAAGAAAATAATTGTTTATATGACCGAGATTTGGACTTTAACTCTACAGATTTGTGTGCATATGTGTGAAGTATATAAATGATAGTTTTTTCAAGGGGGGGGAAGTAATAACTGTCCCGTTTTCTTATTTTTTTTAATGTAGTCACCCTATGCATACATGACATATTAAATATAATATTGTTGTTTCGTTAATCGCTTTTTTATAACGCGCCAACGGAATTCTCTAGAAATCGCATTTGTTAGGCGGTCCATACATTTCACAATTTATTTTATGAGATTTCCGTACAAAATATTTTTAATATTTTTATAGTAAATTTCGGGGGGGGGGGGGGTAACAGCTGTCCTGTTTTCTTATTTTTTTAATATGGTCACCCTATCGTAGTATATTATATATATGAACGAATTTTGAGATTTATGTAATAAAATTAAATATTATGTTATGAATACAACGTTATTATAATACATAGTAAGTATAATAACTTAATATTATAATTCCAATTCAAGCAGTACAACAATTTTATTAAAATAAATTGAAACTTCCCCGTAAGGAATTAATATAATAATATAAATAATATATTATATTAATATTATGTAATGTTGTATAACTATAAGCAATTCAAAATCATTGTAAAATCAATAAGTCATGGCTCCAAATTTTAACATTTTATACCAAGAAAATTAGAAATTCAGATTTCGTGGTCAATTTTACTTTTATTAATTTCGATATCAAATATGAATAATATTTCTAGAACATTTCTAAAATATTATATTGCCCAGTTTTGTTTAATTAGTAATATATAATTTATATTTATTTCAATTCTTATTGAAGATTATGGTTTTATAATTTAATGCTTATGAAAAAAAAAAATAAATAATAAAAATTCTAAACGATGAACGTTTATATATTTAAAAACTCTAATAAACTGTAGTATAATGTAATGATAATATAGCATTTTTAAGCTCTCTGGGTAAGAATGATAATATTCTTTTTTTAAAATCATTAATTTTAATAACGATAATTTAAATAAAACAAAAACTTTTTTATAATAAACATTGTAACTTTTAATATTGATTTAGGTCTTAAATATAAAACATAAAATATTTATGAAAGTAAATTTGATTTTAAACAAAAATCAAAGTTTTTCAATTTTCACAAAATCCAAAATGAAATGTTTAAACCAATTACTAAAGAATATAATTGACTAGATAATAGTACAGTAAACATTATAATTTGCATCAGCAAATATTATTCTTTATAATATTAATCATCATTGCCTAAAGTTATAAATAGCATGTATCGCATAGTGTGTTGCTTTGGTATACTTTTGGTTTTCTTTGAAACTTTTAATGTATTTGCATGTAGTTAGCTTCACATAAAGCGTTTTTATAAATGATTTTTAACAGTTAAAAATTAATAAAGAAATTTAAAAAAAATCCAAGAAAAAATATGTTTTTTAAATTCATTCAACGTAAGATTATCTTTTTGGTGACCTTATAAATTTTATTAAGATGAATTTAAAAAATCATGGTTCAATACTTCATGGAAATTCATTTTTCTATTCCTGATTATGTAATAATTTGTTTGGTACACTTTAATATTTTTTACTCCGTTGTTTATTTTCGATATTATAAATATGTATAAAATCAAAAATGTTTTGATCTTTATTATCATTTAAATCAGCAACTAACGATTATGCAACCTACAACAGCCATATGAAATTAAGTATAATTTTTTTACAAGTAGATTTTGTGACATCAGCTAAAATAAAACTGGTTCTAGTCGAATTAATGAACATTAAATTATTGATACATAGTATTCACTTTTTCTAAAGTATAAAATGAATATGAATTCTATCAATTTTATTTTCGATTTGTTTAACATACATGAATAATTAGTAAAACTTCATCGAAACATAGATAATTCGAACTTTTATAAGCTGTATTTTCTATAACTCAAAGAATTTCTTAGCCCGGGAATTCGAATACGTGGAATGTATTTTTTCTAGGATAAGACTAGGTCTTATTATTTTGTCTAAAACCTATCTGAGTTATCGATGTTCCACTTTAAATAAATAATTATAAAAGGACCTGTACTTGATGTTTTATTAAATTATAATATTATATTATGTAATTCTATAGACAGAGGTATATTTTATAATTTTTTGTGGTTAGGGAGTTTTATATTTTTGTAAAAAATAAGTGATTTTATAATATCATAAAAAATACATATAAGGTATGAATTAATAATTATACTATTCTATTAATATTATAAATACAAATGAAAAATTATTTACAGCCACATGGTATAAATTAATGTTTTCTTTTTCTGTACCTTCATAGCAAGTCATTTATATCTTTTGAACCTTTTTTATTTCGGAGAGGAGGGAATGTTCGAGACCCGGGAACCTCCCAAAAAATACAACACAGCCTATAGGTTAATGGTGATATTCAAATAATAACATTGTTATTTTTATTTATTTATTTATTTTATTTATATTTAAATTTCATATAATGAAATACTGCTATAGAATGTTATCGATTGACAACATGATAATCAGTCATAAACGTCAATAATTTATTTATTAGTTTAGAAAACCTAGACGATATGTGTATATTTCTTTCAACAGTAGTTATATTTGTAATCGTAATAACGAAAAACCAATTCCTAAGTTTAAAATAGTTTCCATACAAATGCAATATACATCGTTAACAAAATGTTGACGTGAATAAAAAATAAAAATAAATGTCCAAGTTCGCACAAACCCAAGGGTATTAATTCGATTTTAATGCAGCGTTACAACGACGACTGAGATCGCAGTGTAAAGGTGATTTTTAATTAAAATTTATAATAAGTTGCATCGACAGTACAAATCGCAAATGGTTAAGCAAAAAACTAATCGAAATAGGTAAAAA